TTGCAGATGAACAAACCTCAACACCGCTCTTACCTTCAGAGTATCTTCTCTCGTCGTCTTTGACATATCTAATTCTGCTACTTTCGGGCCGCTCGTAGGTATCGAGAAGCTACAGGTGCGAGCGATCGGAGGTGGTTCTGGAAGCCGAGACGCCGATTTTGAGATGACGGGTTTATCGTTAGCCGTGGAAAGCAATCGGTCCTTTGGAAGCAATGGAGCTGAATGTCTTAATGCCCTTTCTGGAGGCCTAGGAAGCTCATGGAGCTCACTTATCTTAGGAGATGAAAGAAACGTCGGGGAAGTACTTGGCGACATTCTAGGCGAGGAAGAGATTTTCGGGTTCCGCTGAATATGTCCCGAGTAGAGCTGAGGTGTTGTTGAGGAGACTGGATTGCTCGGAAACTGCTTGCTTGTAATTGGACCAGAAAAGGATTGTCTCTTGAGCCTCTTCCTGTCGGAAGCAAGTTGTCCGGGACGAGAGTATAACAGTACATTATCCGCCAAGGGAGGAGGCAACCGAGAGGAAGACGTGTTCTTGTTACTCTCTCTCAGTACCTGTCCTGATGCCGAGGTTATGGGTCTGGAGACCTTTTCAGGGTGAGAAATCGTGGCTACTCCTGGTTCTGGAGATGTGGGGCTCCTAGTTTCTGCGGGTGTTGGCAATACATACGTGTTGAACTTCCGTGTCAATGATGACCGTATCCGCAACAGCTTATCAGAAGAAAGAGAAGTACGGTTCTCCACCAAAAGGGGAGCTGACTGGCTCGCTGCCCTAACCTCCGACTTTAATGAAGGCGATATCCTGTAGCTTGTTTCCACATTTTCCTGCACAAACGCATTGATATGACTGGTAAGCAAGACATCAAATGCGGCAAGTTTAAGAACAAGTGATTGCAGGCGAAGTAACATAAACTTTAAAAAAATTCCAATAACTCGATAAGGCACCTAACGAATTTTCATTAGCATCGAATGGAATACAGAGTTAGATACAACAAAAAAACCAGTTCTGTTACCTTTGCAATGCTGGGTCCGACAACCTGCGGAAAAGTGATGTCTGACTGACTCAACTGCAAGCATAAGGGAGATAAATTTAAGCAAACAGGAGAGTATACTCAATAAAGCAGTGCAATTTTTAAACTTCTTAAGAGATGCAAATCATTGTCGTTGTACATAAAGCACAAATATCCGTTTGGCCATCTAACCACTCTTCCACCGATTCTAATTAAAATGTCAATCCTAGTAACACATCCCTAGTTAGAAAGTGATCTGAAGCATAGAATGTTCTATAGAGAAATGAAATTCTATTGCAACACAACTACCTCAAGTTATAAAAGAACCTGCGGAAACTAGGATCATATTTTCAATTTTTCAGGTCCAGAGATATATATAAACATCACCTCTGAGGAGAAGCGCTCTGTAGAAACAGCATCCTGATCGTTGTCATTCACTCTATAGTCAAAACTCAACTCCTCGTCGTCATGTGCTACAGAGCCATCGTCATCATTATTTTCAATTTCATCTTTCTCATTGTCATCGTAAAGTCCACTGAAATGGTAATCAATATGCTGTGACTCAGTTACCAGCTTCATTTGTGGTTCTACTTCTTCGAGTGACTTCAGAGCCTTCTTGAAGAAGCATAACTGCACAAACACACAACAGTGAATTCAAAGCATTGATCTGGAAAGTGAAACAAAGGATGAAAGCTAGGCAAAGATGAAAACCTGAGCAGCATGGTGCCGAGCTGCCTGTGTCAAAAGACTACGAGTTTGACCTTGTTTCAGTGATTTCAAACGGAAAACGAATAAGGTCGCTTCGTTATCATATTCCTCGTGAGCTTCTTGTAATTGATGCATAGAAAAAGTTTCTCCTTTCCCACTCCTCGACCTCCCCTTTTCTCTGAGTCGGGATAGCATGTGCTCATAAACATTTCTGAAAGGGGGAAAAAAAGCTTGAGTACAATACAACACTATATCATATTTAGATAAACTTGCCCAAAAAGGATACGATGTAATAAAGGAGGGATGCCATTCAGACCACCAAAGATCAACCAGAATTATAAAGCATTTCCACATAAAACTGACTTTTCTCCGAATGTCATAGCAAAAAATGGCATCTGTTACGAATCTTTAATTGTTGACTTTTAGTAAAGCAGTGCCTCTAATTCCTGTTCAATTAACAGGTATTTAGAAAAGACAAAGAAAAGAAGACAGGACTAACCTTTTCTCATCACAAAGATGCTTCATTTCCTGCATCACCACATAACTTGGTTTAACTATAAGTAATTGAAAGGACGAATTAACTAGTGTAAGAATGAAAACACTTTTATCTCACTCTGCCAGGACGAAGTCACGAAGGTTCAGATACATTCAGGAAGCATGTGGCAGCATATTGGACAGAAAACTCAGCCAAGGAAAAGAAAGGTTGCAGATGAACAAACCTCAACTATTCGAAGTTCATTAAGAAGAGACTCGGATGGGACCGTGATAGTTTGGAATATATGAGATCGCTGAAATTGACATAATAAATAAACAATTATTTAGTTGGTCAGACAAAGAAAAATTCAGTAGAGGAATTTCAAAACAATGTGTATGAAATCTGAACAGCTCACATAATTATCGACAAGTTTCTGGAGCTCAAACTGCATTTTTCCCAGCATTAACAACGCTCTACCTGCACATGAATTAGAAAGCAGATTGTTTGTGCGGCAATTTGTATAATTGGGAGCAACAGAGAAGTTATAAATGTGAAATGCACAGAAGATGATAATAAGCCAAGGAACAAAATACCTATCGTTGTCAGATTATAGCAAGAAAGGAAACCCTAAATATTACAGAATCTGCTCATTAGGCTTACCACTTTCTTCATCATCATTTAAAGCAGTTTTCTCAAGCAAACAAGAACCCAATTCTCTCAACGATTCAGAGAATTCTGCAAGTAAATGAAAAGTGAAAATGATAAGAAAGTATACATTGAAAGGATTCAAGAGAAATCCTTTAAAGAGCCAAATAAAATCTAGGCATAATGACACAGACTGAGAACACATTTAGGGCTGAATTTAAGCATTACTTGGCAACAAGCATTAGCTGTGAGGGCAGCCAGCGGTCTACAGCTAATAGCTTTAGGTTTCAGGGACAAATGTTTTACAGTTTTGAGCTATATTTTTCTAAGTAAAGCAAAGGGAACCATGCACTACCATATGCACTGTTCGCCGTAGCAGCAGCAGCAGCGAGCAATCCATCATAGCAATCTCTCATGTCTTGCATTTCCTGCAAAATCGGAGACAAACATTGTGAGATAGTGAGGGGGAAAAACAGAAATGTAAGCACCGAGATACAGAACAACAATGGCGACAACAGAGAAGCTCCAGGCCCACGAGCTAATCCAACACTTAAGCTCTGTTCGTGAATCCCAGACTTGTTTCATAGCATTCACGACCTAAACCATTTCCCCTAAGCTAACATCGTCAGCTAATTCGCACAAACTATGGAAATCCGACGAGTTTCATAACCTAGAAAAACATAAATCCAGAATCGTCTCATCATCCACAATAACATAAAAAAAAAGGGAAGATCAAAAGATTCCAATTGTAGAAACAGGAGAGAGAGGAAATCGGTACCTGCGAGGCCTGAGCAAGCTCGTCCTTCTGAGCCAGAGCTCGGAGATCTCTACGGTCCTTGGCCTCATGCTTGTGGTGAAGCGCACCTCGTAGCCGCCGGAGAGACGTCTTCATCGCCGGAAATCACCGTAATAAGAGACGAGGAACGATAAAGCAGACGATCGCTTCGTCTTCTTCTTCCTCACAACTACATCATCTCGCGAAGAAGATGAACATCAAGAGAGAACCAAAAAAACCTAATAACGCCATACGTTTGTTTAGAGAACAAGGAAAACCGTTGATCTTTAACTTCGTCTTCTCTTCCATTCTTTAATTTGTTTTTTTTTAATTTATTTAATCAAGTTTTTTTCACCGGCGGATATTTACTTCAGCACGTGAAATTAATCATGGCGTCACATGTAAATAGTGTTAATTATCTTAGCATAATTGCGTTATTAAAGCCAATAATCTCGCTACTTATGGAAATGAGCATTTATTTAATTATTTAAACATGATTAGATTCTACGACGAGTTGCTCACTCAATGATTATTTACTCGTAAATTTTACCATTTCCTTTTGATTTTCTTTTGTGAAATGAATATACTATATATTATATATATTCCCAATGATTATAATATATTCACATAAACACTTGGATGATACCAATGATTCAAATAATATATTTGAATAATTAAGTTACTACATTTTCTTATATATATATATATCATTTAAATTCACTTGTGCAATTATATTATCGCAATGTGAATTGAAACCTCTTTGATTATTGAAGTTATCTACAGAATTTGACCATAAAATCAAGAGTTTTACTTTCCATTTATGGGAAAACAAATGTACAATTAGAATATCATTTCACATAAACGTGGCAGGCCCAAACCCTGCCACGACCTAACCATTTCGACACGTGTACATCCCTTTACCCTCCACGAGGCAACCCCGTGGACCAAATCTCCAACGCTTTGAAACTCATCTGACACATAAAAAAAGAAAACAGAACAAGAACAAGTTTGAAGAGCCAAGATACAAAGTCATGTCGGGGGTGACTCGCGCGGTTGGTCCGAGGAGCGAACCGGACAAAACGACGGCGTATGATTCCGGCGGCAGCGGCGGAGTGATGGGGTCGTTGAGGGTGATAGAGTTGCAACTGGTGGCGTTTATAATGGTGTTCTCGGCAAGTGGTCTGGTTCCACTCCTCGACTTGCTTTTCCCAGCCTTCGTCTCCGTCTATCTTCTCGTCCTCTCTCGTCTCGCCTTCCCTTCCCACGGCCTCACCTCCACTTCCCCCGAGATTTTCCGCGGCAGCAAACTCTTCAGGTCCACTTGCATGCATGCATGCATGGCCTTCATCCATTTAGATTATATTTCGTGAATTAGTATGCTTTTTTTTATTTGATATGTTTTCTATTGGGTTTGGATTATGAGTTATCTTTTACCTGTCTTCTCTTCTTCTTTTTTTTTTCAATTTTCGCAAGTGATTGTGGTCGAAAAAAATAACTGAGTTTGTTTACATTTTTTTTTGGTCATTTTGATTTCGTCTCATCTGATTTTTTTTCGTAATTCCGAAATACTATATAGTATGTTTTACTAACACGTGGTAAAAACGTAAGGTTGTATGTGGTATCGGGGACAGCGATCGGGCTGTTCCTACCTCTAGCCTACGTGCTGGGAGGATTCGCGAGAGGCGACGACCATGCGGTGAGATCGGCGACGCCTCATCTGTTTCTGCTGTCGTGTCAGATCCTTACGGAGAATGTCATTAGTGGTCTGTCTCTGTTCTCGCCGCCGGTCCGAGCCCTCGTCCCGTTGCTCTACACCGTTAGGAGGCTCTTCGTCATACTCGACTGGTCCCAAGACGTCTGGTTTTACAAGTCTTTGCCCTCCAACGCCACGCCCGACGTAAGCCCGTGTTTCCGTCCGTCCGTACAATCTGTATGTATATATATATATATATTAACCATATTGATGGATTTTGGGAAGTGAAGACAGTGGCGTGGTTCTGGTTCGCTCGCTGCCTGGCGATAGGGAACTTGGCCTACTTCGGGGTGAATCTGCTATGTTTCTTGCTTCCGAGGTTCCTGCCTCGTGCTTTCGAGCATTACTTCAGGGAGAGGGACGAGATCTTGGCCAAGAGCCGATCGGACAAATCCAAACATTCGGATCACAAGTCCGATTGATATGTTGGATTCTTCCGGACATAAGGCCATCGGTCGGCCGGGCGTTTGGTACGAGGAAGATCCATTGCGAGATGGGTTGGTCAATTATTATGACATTTTTTATTTTTTCCTTCTATTAGTGTTACTTTTTACTTTCAAGTTTTCACGAATGTGATGTCGAGAAACTCGAAACTTCATCGATGATATGGTGGTGTGGTTTTTGGGAACTAAGAAATTTTTTTCTAGGTTTTTTGGAAATTTTAAAGTTTATATGCATTTATATGAATTTTTCACAAGCTCGTATATGAATTATACGATTTTTCCAAATCTACATATATATATAAATTCAAACAAAAAGAAAACATTATAATATATAAACTCACCATAAGTATAAATGATGTAATCGCGCCGAGATAAAGTGAACATCGGCATCACCGTTTTGAAGTAAACGTAGAAGTGAAGAGAGAACAAAATGGAGAGAGAGAGTTTTTGTTTAATTACCATTTTGAAATCAAAATTCAAAAGATTAAACCACCGGATTTTACAAACAAACAAAAAAAATCAAAATGTAGCTATTTAAAAATTATTTACCTTTGATTCGAAGAAAATGTAAAAAAAGTGTGTCTTTTTAAAATTTAGACGTGGCATCTTTGTTTTTTTCTCTCTCATCTTTCTATAACCTCTTTTGCTGAGTTTATTCTATAAAATTCAACTATATTTCACACAGATTAGATATAAAATTCCCTTGACATTATAAAATAAAAGTATTCATAAAAAAAATTATAACAAATCTAGAAGTTTCTCTCTCTATATATATATATGTCTGCGCATATTTTTAGATTTTATAATTTTATTTATGAAGCGAGTGATTATTTAATAAGCATATTGTACTTGAAAAAATGGAACAAACTCAATTCTAAAAGGGTTTACTCTTGCGGCAGTTAAAAGCATATATGACAGCTTATAATATAACATTGGAAAGGGCACAAAATCCAAAATATTATACACATGTTGACCTAAAGTCTCGTTATAATATTGTGGAATGGTAACAATATTTAATTAATAACATCATAATCAACATTACTATGCTGACAAGCTTTAAAAATATATATTATTGAATTTCTAGGCCCATTTATATTCCGTATTAAATCAATTAAACTGTATTTAACAAAGTTTTTTTTGGCAAACTATATGAACATTGAATGTTTTTGTGGAGTTTATCCTTTTTTCTAAAGAAAACAAACAAACGAAATAATAAAAGATAATTCTTTATTGAAAATTTAATTACACTACGTGTTCCTTATGAAAAAAAGGTATACTTTCTTATATAAACTTATTTTCTATTTTAATTTTAAAAGATTTTATATTATATTATTATTAGAATAAAACGGCTTGCCGAGGGAAAGCATGGGTTGCGTCACTGCACTGCGTGTGCGCCTTGATCTTTTACAATACTTTTTCTTTTTTCTTTAATAAATCTGCAATCTTTAATTTACCAAAATCTTTGCATCTCTCCATAATTTAATGATTAAAAATTGATATAGTTTTCAATTATTATTTAATTTCCGCCATTGGTAGTAGAATGATTCGTCCCAAAAAATATTAAAAGCTGGTGAAAGCAGTTTGATCCTCGCAAAACATACCACATGCCTCTCTCTCTCTCTCTCTCTCTCTCTCTCTCTCTCTCTCCCCCCTTCAATCTTTCTCGCAGATTGGATAACGCGCTTGTGTAGTCTAATGTGGAGCAAAAAAATGGGAGCTTTGCTTTATTAACTTGTAGACCCTTTCATCTACTCCGCAAGCGGCTTCTTCTTCTCCGAATTGTTAAGTATCAATCTTTCCTTTTTCACTGATTATTTTACATGGGTTTTGGTTTTCTTGCGTGTTCTTTGGTTCCCTTTTGTTAAAGTTGGTTCCTTTTCCCTAAAGATGAGATCTTTCCTCACTTGATTTTAGAAGATGACGGTAATGTGAAAGAAAAACTAGTGGAATGATGAGAATAGCGTTATTGGAGCAGAAAGTTTTTACCAAAAATGGTGAAACATCCGTTTGCTGTCTTTGCGGCCGAGTTTTCAACCCTACTTTCTTTGAAAACTGTGAAGGGGGAGGAGAAAATTTGCTCAGAAGATTGAAGAGTTCTCTCTCCTTCTCTCTAATCTATGACTTTTCTTCTCACCCCTTTTTGTTTCACTACATACAAAATAGCATCACTTTCGGAGATTGTTGATGAGAGAAGCGGTGGGTATAGAAGAGAAGATCCGTGACTTTTTCTATCAATTGATGAATCTGAAGCCATAGGAGACGAAAGTGATGTGAAGAAAGGGGACCATCACTTTCTTGTTTGCCCCATTTATGTGAACACTCTTTAATCCACATACCTACTTGTTTGTTGTCTCCTCTCTTTTCCCTCAGACCCAGATAGTTACAACGTGTAAAAAAGCTTGTTCTTTCAACATTAACCATGAAGGAGAATTCTCCCAAGAGTTACAACATGGGCAAGGGAAAAAAAAAAGAAGGTCCTTTGGGTTGCTTATGGTGTATGGGTGCATCCCCTGTTAGGAGTTTGGTAATGTACTGAATCTAGTACCACTGGTGGGTTTGTTGCAAAAAATCGACAAACTTTTACAGTATGTATAAAAGGGGAGTTTTTACAGCTGGGTTGAGTAATTAGATCGCTGCATAATGATGGCGAAGGAGGGGCCTACATCTCATGGATTTGCCCCCACAGTCTAATGAATGATGAATGTGAATTATTGATGAAGAAGCTTCTGATGGGCACGAGGGAAAGTGAGGGTATCTTTTGGTGGTGATGCTATATATGTAACTTATCTATTGAGAAAGAAGATACTTTTCTTCTTCTTCTTCTTCTTCTTTATTTTCTTCTCCGGGTTCGTCCCATTTATTTATCTGCAAGTCAATTTGCATCTGCAGAAGAAGGAAGGGCTTAGTGAAGAGTTGATGCCTGCTGGAAATTACCGAGGACCAGAAAAGTTGGCTTGCTTGAGAGACCTGTGGTATCTAAGCAAAGGCAAATAAATAAGACTGAATGAGATTGTTTATAGTATTGCTTTTGTTGAAGTGTATGCCATTGTCATGATGGAGTTGAAAATAGTGCAAGATTATTCAGTAGATCTCTTTCATTTGTTGTCATCATCATCAGCATCATCATCATCGTCATCTATCTTCTTACAGAATTAGGTAACCTTGTCTAATGATTGAGTAGTTGTTAACATCCACCATTCTTCCATATAAAGAACGCTTCTTAACATAATCCCATTTTCTTATTCCTTCTTTTGAACATCTGAAGGTAGTATCTACCATCTCCTGATTCCTGGTTTAGATTGGTGTAAGATAGTTCATCAGTTGTGTGCTGAGCTTTCTTATTATATAAAATTCAAGGTTTATGCATTTTCTATTTTCTTTTTCTTGCATATACTTTGTTTGTGATATAATTTGTGATTCTGGCAGAATCTGTTGGTGGATTAGTAGAGTCCTCTCTGGGTCATGGATTGCAATTTGAAGTCTTCAGTGCAGTGGGAATGGGACAATTTAGTATCTTTTGGTGCATCAGCTACTGAAATTCCTAGAAAGCTACAACCTTTGGAGTGGGAAATTGATGATCTTGACCCTGTCTCTCTATGTTCTTCGGGTTTTGGTTGCGGTGGGTTAAGTTCTGATATCGGTCATGCTTTCTCAAGAAGCTCAAAATCAACTTCCATTAGCTCCTCATCCACTGATATGAGGACATACAACTTTACGCCAGAGGCTGGTGAAGTTCTTCAAGAAGATCTCTGCATTAGTGAAGAGTTGGCTAAGGGAATCGGTACCTCTCCTCCGAGTCTCGAACCTTCCTTTGGTTCTGGTGAGCCGATTCTCGGTCTGAAGCTTGGCAAGAGAACATACTTTGAAGATGTCTGTGCAGGAGGAAATAACGTTGTGAAAGGTCAACTGCTTCCAGAAAAGAGAGCAAAATCCATTCCTCAGAGTTTGCAACAAGCTCCTCGATGCCAGGTTGAAGGCTGTAATCTTGATCTCTCGTCCGCCAAGGACTATCACAGGAAACATAGGGTCTGTGGTAGCCATTCAAAGTGCCCGATTGTCCTCGTTGGTGGCCTTGAACGTCGGTTCTGCCAACAATGTAGCAGGTAAAGGATATCAAGTTTTCTCTTTCCTATTCGTTGGCATTGATAACACTGGTTTCCAAACTTTTTGTCGAAAGGTCTTCAAGCTATTTGTTAATGGTGTAATAACTGTGAGTTTTTGGGTGTCAAAGGTTCCATGGTCTCAGTGAGTTTGATGGGAAGAAACGTAGCTGTCGGAGGCGCCTTACAGATCACAATGCAAGACGTAGAAAATCGCAACCAGAAGAACCCATGCAGCTACATCCTGCTCTATCCTATGGTACTGATTTGAACTTATCTTGTTCTCTTTCGACATTAACATCCGGATTTGAGCCATCTCTCTGATCAGAAACTATGAAGAAATGAGTGCTTTAGTGGCCAAACACTTGATTGAGATGCATTTTGTCATCCTTCTTATGCAGATGGGAAGCAACAGATGAATCTCATGTGGAATAAATTTGCATGTATCGATACTAGGAGCGAGGACAAGTTTCTATGGGAAGCCACGTTCGGTTCGAAGCCCATAACACCGAGAGAATTAGAGACGAAACCTGTAAAGATCGAGACTTTTGATGGTAGAATGCATTCCAACAGCAATAAGCGTTTCAGTTCAACTTCCGTGCCACACCGCGGATTCGGGTATTTGCCCCACAAGACCAGAACTGCAAGAACCGAGCTATTCATCAAAGGTCTGTATCTCTTCTAGCTTTCTTGTTTGCAGAAAAAAAAAAACAGTCAACCATCCTTGTATATATATGTATATGCATCTGATCCTTTGATATGACAAAAAACTTGTGTGCAGAAACAGAAGAAGAGGTCAGAGTCTCTTCCCAAACGGTGGGTGGGTTTCAAGATCGTGATGGTGCTCTCTCTCTTCTGTCAAATGCAACATCATGGGTTCCCTTCGAAGCTAGAGGCAACACTCTTGAACCGGTAGTGGCTCATCAACTCGGCTCATCACTGGACAACATGCAGACAGATCTCCAAGTGTTTGAGCCAGCAGCTCCGAACAGAGACACGATGGGAAGCCAGTTTCAGCTCCTCCGAGGGCAGTTTAGTGAGAACTATCATCTTTGTCCGAATCAGTTCAACCGATAACATAGAGGTTCGATGCCATTAGATTGCAGACTGCGTCATTTGCCTTTCACTCCCCTACGAATATTTTGCAGTGGGTAAGGCATTTGGTTAGTGATATGGACATTATTAGCGTTTGGGTTTCATCAGATAGGAGGCGTGAGACCTCAAAAGACTTCAAGTCCTTGTCTTTTTTTTTGTTCTTTTGGTTTTCCTCCATTGGTTTTCTTGGGAAAGAGAGCGGAGAGCCATTAGCAAAGAGGAGGGCATTGCAAATGATTCTGTCTTAATTATTAAAAAAATTGTTATTTTCAAAATAAGTTCCATTTTCAGGGTTTTGTATTTCTATATATATATATTCAGTTCGACTTCAAAAGAAAAAAAATATTATCAAAAGAAAATCTGATCGCATTAGGGGTTTTATAATTAGATATGAATATGAACGGTTAAAAAAAACAAATTATATATATATTTTCTATAAAAAAAATATCAAATTTAATATTTTCTAAAAAATTAAGAATTATTTAATAAATGTTAGCAAGATGCAAATACATGAGGAGTTGCTTTGTAACCAAAAAGTATTCACATAACAATATTAGGGAATCTTATGACAATTGACATCAAATCAATTAGGATCGTAGTAATTTATATAATTTAATATAAAATAATATTAACTTGATATGTGTTAATAAAACCAAATTAATATTCTTAATTTTTTTTTTCATTCGTGTTTGATAATTAATTTTATTCCTCGAAAAGACACACCCACATGTTATGAGCATTCGACAAAAACCCCCGTTTTTGTTTTCCTCCTCACAAAAAACTCAGAACACTCGCTCGTCCACGTGTGCGACCTCTCCACCACTTCTTAGTCAAATTCCCCCAAAAAAATCGAAAAAAAAAAAACCAAACCCATAATCTCGAAAGATCTGCCCTTTCCTCTCTGCTTCGTTATCCAAGATTTGGGTTCCTCTCCGACAATGGGTCCGGTTGTTCTGACACAGCTGGCTACGGGTCTTAGCGTTTTGGCGGGGGCGGTTCTGGTGAAATCGGTGATGGACCAGAAACCCATGGCGGGTCAGTTTCCACGGTGCCCGACTTGCAACGGCACGGGCCGGGTGGCGTGTATGTGTTCTCGGTGGTCCGATGGAGACGTTGGGTGCCGTGGGTGTGCCGGTTCGGGTCGCAGGGCATGCAACAGCTGCGGCGGTTCTGGAACCGGTCGGCCCATTCCGGTTCAGATCACTGTTCAGCCACCGAACCGATCGTCCTAACCGGGTTTGTATAGTGTTAGCTTGTAGACTCTGAACACTTTGGCTGGGTGCTAAGTGGTATAATTCATGTGCTTGAACACAGACATAGGAATATCTCTTTGAGGGTCGCAAGTAGAATTGCTTTTGTGGTGATTCGGTACATACATACATATATATATACACATATATTATAGATGGGTATATTCGTTTGGTTCTGATATTGTTCATTGTAGTTACCGTACCGGTGACTTCCATGTGGTTGATTGTTGTGGTGTGGCGATTCGTATCATATGTTGGTTTTGATAATTGAGTTAAAAATCTCAAATTTTTCATTATATACATGAACCAGATTTCTTGAAATCGATTAAACTTAAACCGGATGGAAAACCAATCAAGAACCGTGAGGGTTATTTCGATTTGTGGATTAGGTGATCAAAGCTCGCCTTAATTAATCAGCTTGTTCACCCAATTAATTAGTAACACAAAGGGTGAAATTAAAAACAATGTTACAAATTGTACCACCAAGTGGCCAAATGCAGTTTGGATTTTAGTTCTAATTATTGTTAAAACTATATAATTAATGAGCCGTTTAATTTAAACTTGGGGAATCTTACGCTTGCGATTAGGTGATGTTGGTACTTGGTTTTCCTTCCATGATATCTCAACGACTCCTAACATCCTTTCTACTTTTAAAAACAGATTTTTTTTATAAAAAAAAACTACATTTTCCCTTTACATATAGGATGGTTTTGGTTTTTATATAATATGATTTCTTTTTTCTTTTTATATATATCCAATATGGATTATATTATACATTTTAGAAACCTAAATTTATTTTGACCTGTCTTAATAACTCAATTTTGTTTTCCACCATAATAATGAATATGTCATGACTAAACAAATGAAGTAATTGAGATTAAAACCATACTGTTTTAATTAATAAGTTAGAAAAAAGAATAGTTTAGATATCAAAGTAAACAAAACTCAAAATTTTCCCAAAATATACCAAAATTAGATATCAAATTACATAACAGAAAATCGTATCATAATTTATTTACAATGATATAATATTTATTGTCAGTATTTTGTTTATATTTTCTTGTACATAACTTTGCTGCTTTTTTTAATGAGTTTTTAATATAATTTCTTTGACTTTAATAGGTCTTTTATATCTCCTTTTGGATTGCCGCTTTATGATTAAAATTATCAAATGGTGGAATTTGGTAACCGTACTGGCGTTAGCAGTAGTCTCCTTTCGACTCGGTTCATAGAAAGTGAAGCCATTTCTTCTTTCCTTTCTTATGCACTTACCACTTAAACCTCTGTTCCGACACAAGTCTTCAAGTTACATCGTCGGCCAAGAAACAATGATACTCGTAAGCGGATATGTTTCGATCCGATTAGTTTTCCTTTTTTCCGTCTTCTTATCCTCCGAGTTTGTTCCACTCGAAGCAAAACAATGTCTCGAACGAGAAAGAAATGCCCTTTCGGAATTCAAGAATGGCCTTCAAGATCCTTCAGACAGGCTCTCCTCTTGGACAGGAAGTGACTGCTGCAACTGGACTGGTGTTTTCTGCAACAGCCAGACTGGCCGAGTTATATGTCTTGATCTTGGTGGTTCTCCTATGTATTGTGACTCCTTGGGATCGGTTAACAGATGTCTGGCAGTATGATCAGTGATTCGGTTCTTGGACTGGAGTTCTTGAGCCACTTGGATCTCAAGAACAACAACTTTTCTGGTCATAGTATCCCGGAATTTCTAGGTTCCTTGAAGAGATTATGCCATCGTCAATCCTAGCTTTGAGAAAGCTGAAGTATCTTGACCTATCAAACAATAGTTTCAGTGGAAGCTTGTACCACAGTTGGGAAGTTCTAGACGAACTGCACGTCTTCGATGTCTCGTTCAACAATCTGTCCGGTCAGATCCCACAGACCTTCTGCTCGGAAATACCGTCACTTCGTTGGTTTAAGCTGAGCAGTAACTCTCTCTCTGGAGAAATTTCATGGCTGAAGAACTGCACAAAGATGACAACACTTGACCTTAAAGAAAACAAGTTCTATGGGAGCATACCGGAACATATCTCAGAAGAGTTACCTAGCTTGATGGAGTTGTCACTAAGAGGAAACGAGATCTCGGGGAAGATTCCCGAAGGAATATGCAGGCTATCATTGCTGCACATCTTGGACCTTGCTGTTAACAACTTGTCAGGAGAAGTTCCAAGTTGCATCGGTGATCTTGTGGCTCTGAAAGTTTTCAGTCCGTACCAGCCCATGAATGCGGTGGATATGCCGCTTGGTGAGAAAATTTGGGAATGGATTGTGGAAGGAAAGCAAATGGAGTTGATCGTCAAGGGAAGAACAGCAGTGTACCGAGGCGTAACTCAGCTTGTCAATATCATTGATCTCTCTAACAATCATCTCACTGGAAAGAGATCACAGATCTCAAGGCATTGGGGTTCTTTAACTTGTCTTGGAACCAACTGACTGGGCCATTACCCCATAACATAGGAAAGTTAAGGCAACTAGAAACACTCGACATTTCCTGCAACCGTCTCTCGGGCATCATCCCTCCAAGCATGGCATCCATGACTCTGCTCGACCATCTGAACGTTTCATATAATAACTTCTCGGGTTTCATTCCAAGATCAAACCAGTTTGCAACTTTCAACGACCCTTCGATCTATGAGGGCAATCCGGGACTTTGCGGGCCTCCTCTGCAAGTAAACTGCATGGCAGACAAGACAGTCCAGGATGAAGGCAAAGATGATGATGATGATGATGACGATGAAATGGTTTGGATGTACATGGGCATGGCGGTCGGAGCTGCTGCAGGATTCTGGGCAGTTTGTGGGACTTTGATGATCAAGAAGTCATGGAGAGAAAGCTATTTCACACAAGTAGACAGATTTTTAGGAAGTCCGCAAATCCGACAAACACTCACCACAGGTTGGAAGCCTTGATTTACTCTTTCTCGACTTTGACTTCTTTCCCGAACTCGAACTGATATTTGGCATGGTAATTGCAGGCACTTCAACTTTACGACGTCCGACAAGTAGAGCTGTAAGACAATAATGTTACAAATGAGATTTTTGTCTGTATAATACAAAGGATACACTATTAAGTCAACTGAAGATCCTGTTGAAAGGTCTTAGTAACATTCTGCAGAATTGCAACTCCTTTAACTATTCGACTACGCGGACAAAAAGATCGAAAAATGTAGCAATGAAAAACTATTCACAATCAAGCTTCTTACTTCTTAGGCCTGTAGTATGTACCGCCTTTCTTCAACCTTGAACCTGAGATATATCTTGCTTCTGCTTTCCCCCTTTTATACATGATCAGATTCCTTCATGGAGAAGAACATAGGCCGCATCTCAGTGAGCCATTGTGGTTCTACTGCAGTGACACACATCGCCTGTGATCCTTAGTTCCAATTTCCAAATACCGAAACAAGAAAGATTGGGATTTAGGATCGGATATTTCCAAAATCTCAGATACCCAACCTGTACTGAAGGCTAACACAGAGATACTCTAGGAAGAGAAAAAGATACAACATAAGAAGCAGTACACCTCAAAAGCTGCTTATCAAAATAGAAACTGTACATTTATACCACCAAGAAAAGGCTGTTGTGTTCTACCGCAAATCAGCCGGAACATGAAAGAAAAGATAACACAAAAAAATACCCCCAAAAGGGTATAAATGCACCACCCACCCCAAAAAAACTTACCAAATGAATCATGAGTTTCACATTATGGAGCAATTGCATTTGGATTCCAATTTAGGAGGGTTCAAACTGTCTCCTTTATTCATAACTCCAACATTAGGTGTCACTGTTTCACCTCCATTTTCATCATTCTCCATTGGGATTGAACCTTTCAAATCTGTTTCCATTTGTTTTTGCCTGCCTTTTGTAGATTTGGAACTGTGTTTCACCTTAGTTCCACTGTGTTTATGAACCTTGTATGTGTTTGATTTCCCAAGTATCATTACTGTTGGACCTGAATCTTCCATGGCCACGTCTCCCTGTTTCTCGATGGCTAATGTTGCAGCCCGGTAAGCTAAATCATGAACAATGGAGCTGCAGAAAAGTATTGTGTCGGTTGCTTCTTCTAGTGTCAGGCTCTTGGGTTCTCTTCCTTCATGACACTCCACAATAACAGTTGAATTTTCTGCAAAGAACACAAGGATCAATGGTTCAGGAATGATTTGATCAGCAAGTCCATTTTCATATGTACCTTTAATGGCACACCAAAAGTTTAGATACTAAAACACCATTGTTAAAGAATCAATACCTAAACTCCCATTTGCTGGAGCAGAGGCATTGTGTTCCATAGCAGAATTTCTCGCATCCTTTCCCAAAGAGCATAGATCTGAACAGTCTTCAAGTTCGTTTCTATTGCACTCTGATCCCAGAAATATGTCGTGACCTTCTGAACCAGGATGTTCGTGTTCACATTTCTCAAGTTCTATTTCCGAGGATGTTGCAGACAAACCATGCTCGGAAATTTCATTTCCCTCCTTTTCTTGATAAATAGAACCCTGTAGCAGAGAGTCATCTTCAAAAGACGAAACAGTAGCCACAGATAATGCTCCTAATTCTGATGTGCTCCTTACGTGTACTGGTGATTCTCCTGATTCCATTGTGCTCATCAGATTCTTGGCTTCACCATCTCCTGCTTCATATAAATCTTTGTTGCCATCGTTGTTAAGTGATGCAACTGAATTACTCTCTGCTACAGTGCCGACTACATCTCTTGATAACTCCAAGGAGGAAATACCAATCGATCTCCTGCTTTCCCCAAAAGCTGAGTACATCACATCAGCTTCTTTATTTCCCGAGTCTTGGATTTTGGGATGAGACTCTGGATGTGCCTGATCATCAGTGGATATCATATCAACAGCAAACAGTTCAGAACTGGCCCCAAGCCTAACACTCGGAGCCTGGCCGACATGGCCAGACACTTCCGATGAAGATGACATACTGCTCAGGGACCTGGAGTTTATGTCATATCTATGACACCCTACATCATGTGTGTTGCCACTTCGTTGTTGCACATGAGCTTCCTTCTGAACAGATGAACCAAAATCAGAAGAAGGCGATGCAGACAGAGTGGCATGCTCAGTGGAGCTTCTAAGACGGTTGCTTCTCTCCCTTACAAAAGAAAAATCTTCATACGATCTGTTGATGGCATTTGAGTTCTTAGCTCGTGTAGTGGGTGCCTTCATACTGCTTGATCTCTTTATAAGCAAACTGCTGCGCCCACCATCTGAAGAATCAATCTTCAAATCGCAATGCTTGTCAGAAAACAGAGTTTTGGTGCCATCTGTGTCTCTGTCCAGTAGATTACAATCAGAGGAAGGTTGATGAATTTCGTGCTGATGATTGGACCTCTCCCCATCACCTACTGTCAAAGCCTCAGAAACAGTGTTCTCTTGTAAATAATTCTGTCCCTCCTCACAGGAATTTTGTCCCTGCGTAATGTTCTCCTGTGTTTCAATAGGCTGCGGCAGCGTTTCTTGTGCAGTCATCACAGTGTTTAGGGAATTCTCAGCAAGTAGCACTGTGGTTCTGAGGAGAGCAGTTTCCGCAAAATCATGTTGTTCTCGGCAATCTGGGCAAAGATTTATCTCACTCTCAACTGGTTCAGTGGCATAGTAGTGGAAACCACATCTAGAACAAGCCTCCAAATTTTCAAGAGCAACCCCTTCTGGCACATCCCCTGCTACAGGCAAATTACCCGAAGTTGAATTGGTATCAACATCAACACGATGATTGACCTCCTCTGACACACCAGCATTGCATTCAGTGGCATTACCTTGATCCAGACAGCCAAGTAGGTTATGTAAAGGACTGTCATGGTTTTTACTTCTATTTCCTTTGCTCAATAAATCTATATCTAAGGCAGAAATTTCTTCATGTGTATTAGGATGCTGTAATGTCTCGTTTTCAGTATGACAATCACAGAGCAGCTCACTTCCTTTAGTACCTGGAATGAACCCTGTAACTCGACCAAAATCTGCACTGCCACCTACTGTTGAAGTGGAAGGTCTTAGGATAATATGATGGTAAGACGAACTGTCCTTCCCAGCATAGAGACCCGTGCAAGGAACACTAGATACAAGAGGTCTGAACATATTACGATGACCTTTGCGTTGATCCTGCAAGAAAATGTAGATCACAAACACAGTTACACGTGTCTATGCAACAACAACACAACTAGGAAATAGATACATGTGTGTAAAAGAAACCAGCTCTTGAGAAGATGGAACAAGAAATAGGGTTTGGTCATTTTTTTCTAAGAAGATAATATTACATTTTAAGATCAACAGTTCGATTAAATTGCTACGACTCACCAGATGTGATGTGAGGTCATCAATCTCATGACTTGATTCGGCTGACTATACTACCAGATGAAATGGAGGGAAACCAATTACTAGAACTTACATAAGAATATATCATGTGTGATCTCAACATATGCTAAGTTGAAGACAAGCTGTTTTGACGTATTCTTACTGCATATTTGGTAATATGTTTATAACAATCAAGTCACTAGAGCATCCAATATTGCAAGCAGAGTAAAACCTGACTTTAATATAGGTAATGCAAAACAATAGAATAACTAACAAAGCATAAAAATATATAACGTAAACGTTCATACTTAAGCAGTAACATACCATTTGACGAAGAGCAGACTCAAACGGTTTTTTTGGTGCAGAACTAGGTGAAAGTAGTTTTGAAGATCTCGGAGTTCTATTACTTGGAGAAAGGCTAGTTCTCTTTGAGACTGGACGATCTGAGCCACTTAGGGGAATAGATTGTAGAGAATCAAGATCATCATCTCCAGATGATGCCACAGAACCTTTGCTATGAGAACTAAACCGGTCCCGCTCGTGACTGTGCGATGAACTGACACTTCTAGAAGCAATAGGAGAAACCGATTGTCTGTTGTGTCTCGAGGATGAGTCCCTGCCAATTCTGGATGCCGGTGAGGAACCTCTCACGTAGGAAGCGGGTCGATCAGCCAAAGATGTCCTGAGATTTGGCGGTGCATCCAGTGAGAACTCGGGAATATTTGACTGCCAAGCTTTTATTTTTGGTGAAGAGGAGCTCCCATGGCTAGATCTCGAAGGAGAAGTGCCCCTAAGTGCTGTTGATGCCATGGTATTTGACCATGTGCTCAACCTTCGTGAATTTGGCGTGGAAGACCTTGAAGCAGGCCTTGAGGATTTACTTGGAGAAGGAGATGTCCTCCTAACCGGGATAGCTGCTGGTTGAGCAGATGTGGGACTAGACTGATGTGTTGAAGATGTCCTTCCTTTCATCTGATGCATACTGCCAGATTGAGGTGACATGCTTAAGCGATTTGGGCTTGCACTACCCTTACTACTCTGGTGGCTCCTCTCCATCTGCACATAGATGTATAGTCAGTACGTGAAGATGAGATAATTGCAGCAAGATCTTATTCCCAATCAACAGCATAAGATACAAATAAGAACAGTTTGCCGTTTCTGGATAGACTATTTGACCTACCGTAGAAGATCTAGATAACGAAATCTGACCCCGAGGTCTCCCCCTGCTCGGAGAACTAGCTGATGGTGGTTCATCATCCAATGAAGGGAAAAGTGGCGTGTCCGGAGGCGTAAGCAACCTTCCAATTGATAAAAAGTGATCTTTGTAAGATCAAGAGTGGAAAATAGCATCCACGAAACTGACAAACATGACATAGTACTATGCTACACCAACAATGACAAACCTGTAAAATCAGAAAACTTAAGAAGAAAGAAGGTTTCGTGTATATAGAGAATACCCAAGCAAGAAAGATGGCCATTATAATTCTGTTAGCTAGTAGTGAAAGGTTAAAACTGTTTTGTGATAATAGTAAAGCAGAAGAAAAATTCAAAGCATCTATAAGAAACGAAAAGATACCAATCATAATCATTTTTGTCTCCATCTGCATTCAGCAGTCCACTGCTCTCTCCTTGAACAAGAATGGTGGATTCAGAGAAGTGCTTCAGTTTTGAAGCTGAAGAGAATTCCAAAATTGAAGAAATGCAGGTCAATGAAAAAGATACAAGAAACAAGCTAAGCCAATAAATCGAAGGACAATGATTGACTTTAGAGAGTAGCAGCAAGTAAAAAAACTTACAAAATGCATCTTCCAAATCATCAGATGACTCAAGTAAGAAGTTCTCTCTCTCTTTGTTTTGCACTTCACTGAACAATGCAAGATCATCATCATCATCTTTTTCTTTGAATAGTATCCCATATTCAATGCTGTGCCCTCGTCTATGGTTCTTCCCGGGAAGCTCCCTGACCGGGGAGCATCTCAATGCCGGGGAAGGAGGCATCACTTAAAATAAGCACTACACGAGCAACCACAATTCAATGTCACCCAACAAGCTCCTCTTCTTGATCACATATGGATTTGAACAACTATCTCTTCTTGATCTGATTTACCAAAACCGAGAATAACTGGAGTATCTCAGTCATCGGTATGCACACTCTAATACTATACTATTCCCAATTCCACTACAATCTCATAACAGAGCAAGAGCGCTCAATAATACAAACCCTAATTTCCAACTTTCCATATCTAGCTCAACAAACTCCACCATTTCGAAAAAGCTCAAGACTTACCAAACAATTTAGCTTGAAAGCCTCGTCAAAAGCAAGATCCTGAACTTGAGGATCAAAACCCAAGTCCTCAAATGCCTAAATTACAGCGAGAAGCTCCGACGGATCAAAGAACAGAGACCCAAAAGAGATCGACTATGTTCTCAGACTGGATTTCCTCGTACAATGCCTCTCTCCCGAGAGAAAACGAACGAGAATGTTGACTGAATTTTACGTATTGCCGAAACTTGATCCCTCACTTCACTTCACTTCACTTCCGACAAGACCAAATCCCCGATTCCTTGCCCGTTCTTGTTTCTGCGAACAGTCAGATTTGTCTCTTTGCTCCACAGCAAACGCTTTGACTCTCCCCTGACTTTTCTTGTCTCGAGATTTGGAGTTTGATTGTTGTGTTTATGTGATGGTAATTATTTCTGGAAATGGCGACAGACGCTCTGGTTTAAAGGCAGAGACTGAATGAAGACGAAAGAGCTCATTCCATTCTCATATATCTTTTTTTTTCCAGGTGACTTAAAAATTTTATTTCCCTTATTTATTCTTAAACAATTTATTGCATCTTCTTACATAAAAACTATAATAAAACAGGACGCATAATGATAATGAGCCGACTTTCACTAATAATATCTCAACATTCTCCAATACATAATTATGGATTTATTGCTTTTTATTATATAATCATAATTATATTCTCTTTTTAATTTACGAGTGAAAACTGGAACTATTTAGATAAGTTTTCTGAAGCAAAATATTATTCTTAATCTCACCAAAAAAAAAAATTATTCTTAATCAATATATTCATCTATAATTTTTTAATTATATATATGTATCAAATATTTACAATTCGGATGATTTTCGAATTGGAATATAAATAATAAATTTTATCAACATAATCTTGGAGTTTTGGTTTAGATATTTTCGGATAATCTACTTATATATATAACCCAAAAAATCCACATAAGTAAATATCATCTGTCCATTTGATTAATAATGCGTTTGATTATTTTAATAAAATATTAATATCTTAGTAAATATTCCTGATAATTTTTTTATTGGTTATAGGTGGATATGGTGGACCGCATTATAGATTGCTTAACATTTAACACAGAAAAATATAAATTAAAAAATAAAATTAAAATGAGGCCAAGCTAAGTTGTCTCGGTTGGTTGACATTTGAAGTGTTTCATTCATGTGCTTACCCTTCTTCGTTGAGATGTCGCCTTTTATTTTATTGCTTCATTATTTATAACCAATTTGTGTTTGTCCTTTTGTTAATGGACACTTGAATTCTGAAATTTTAAAGCAAATCTAACCATTTGATTAAAAAAAAATATATTATTGAGTCAACTAATCATTAATTTAAATATATATAAAAACTTAAATGGAAAAATACAAAGATACCGAATCTCAACATTTATCTTAGCCGTCAATTTATTATTTTCGTTCACAGCCGTCTATTTATCAGATTCAATCTTAACCACTAACTAAACCAAAGACCCATTTTACCTTTTGTACACACAAAGGCGGCTTGCTTGTGCAGTGTCCACTTCTGTCTAAGACTTTTGTCTAGAAACCAGAAATGCTGGCAACGTGTTTCTTCATTGCTCTGTCTTTATGGTGATGACTTCTTCCTCCTCTGCCTCCGCCTCTCCGTCCCCTTCCGCCGCCTCTGCTCTCTGTTTCCGAAACATCCGAGCTTTTCGCATCGAGGTTTCTGTCTTGCTGTTCTCTGCCCATTCCCCGACCTCCTCGTCCACCTCTTCCTCTCGAATTTCTCGCATTCTCTCTTCCATCTTCCCCGGGCGAAGCATTCTGACCGTAGTGATCTTGCTGCGACTGATATTCAGTAAGTTTCTTAACGGCTCCAAGAGGAATGTTCCCTCCATGTCCCAACCCATGTATCAACTCTCCCTGAGCTCGGCTCACCAGTGATGCCTCATTGGCATTCGCCACTGCAACCGAGCCAGCCACTTTGTAACTGTAGTTCTTACCGTCTTTCACGTAGAATTGAGGCGCCTTTCTGCTTCCCCACTTCCGAGCACTAGAGGGATCGGATTCTGATCCAGAAACCAAACCAAACTTCTCGCTTTCTTCTGCAGCTGATTCCACCACACTGAAACCCAAGTCATCAAAGGAATCATCATATTCATCTTCATACTCGTACTCTGCAAGTAAGGCGGCATCCTTTGCCTTGTCGTTTTCATTCCTCGCATCGAGAATAGCATGGTTTGGAGCATCGTCCTTCGCCTTTCTGATAAACCTACCCATCGTCATAGTGGACGAGGCAGATGATGCTGAAGAAGCTGCATGTGGAGAAGGACCTTTGATGATGGCTTGCTCTTTGTATGGAACAGAGCTTGTGATGATATCATCAGATTCGACCAGCTTCCCTTTCCCTTTGTCTTGGCTGCTTATAGTTGAAGCAGATTTGGGTTGTGGCATTGTCTCCAAGGAAGTATCCAATCGTTTCAGATCCTCATGGAGCGTTCCTTCAAGTATTCTTTGGATAATCTCTTCTGGATTTTGATTATAAGCTTCGAGGCATGCAGCCAGGAACCCATTACCATAATCAGGGAATAAATCTTTTATTTGACTGATCTTGGATTGCATAACAACAGCATCTTCATCCACCAGCTGTTTGGAGTTTGTGTTTGCCACCTGAGCAGACAGCAAGTGTTGATCCTTAACTGAAGTGGTCTGAGAAGAGTGTGACGTGATCATCGATAAATACTGAAACTGCTCATCTTCCATCGATATCCATCCTGCTTACAAACAGATATTAGAACTTGCTTAGAAACAGATATTAAAGATACCATACCACGTAAGATTAAAATGGACTGGCTTCCGCGAAAATTACACATTCATAGGAGCATCGAACAATCTAAGAATCTCCTTAATTTTAGAGGGAAGCAAGGCAATAGATGATTTCATCTTCAGAAACTCTACTATATGCTTCATCTTACATGTCATTTGCTGATAGAGGATACCAAAGAAATGGATCGACCAGGACACAAAAAAAAAATAGTTGTGCAAGAAAATACCTGCATTCTGCAAACCCACGAGTCTATCCATTACTCTGTAATTCCTTTCAATCTTCTGAAGCAATCGATTTTTGTTTTCCAGCATTTGTTGAGAAACCCCACCTATTTCCCTAAATGTTTGCATCAGTATATCTGCCCTTATCATAGGATCCTCTACACTTGACGGGAACATCTTAGTGACGGCTGGAATTGAAGTCCCTTGATTAAACATTTCGTCACTCAGGTAACAAATGTCTAATATTTTCCAGCAAAAATTTACTATCCTTGTTGATAACATTTTCAAACTCATAGTAAGGTCGGAAAGAGATGCATGTTCTCCATCCTTGAACAACAACTGAAACCCCCGGTGTACTGATGGGAGCAAAGAATCGTGCAACCGCAAAATGCTGCTTAGAAGTTCATCATTCCCATAACTGCACAGACATTTAGGATCCGATAAAAAAACCAAAAAACTTTGGCAGACAAGACAAGCTAAAAGACTTGAGAGACACTATTGGATGAGTGGTGACAAAAGTCACACCATCAATCTCAGTTTTCAAAAATCATGAGAAATTTGTAATGCAGTTATATACAAATCCAACTAATGATGATTTATGCAGAGCAATTTTCCGCAGTCAAAACAGAGAAAACTTTTGAGAATTGGCAGAAATTCCATGGCCTGTCAACCAAGTACTCTTCACAATACTAATTGAATGTTATCGATGGAACAGAGAAGGCATACCTTGTCTCGACAGGGCAGGCCAAGATAAAGGCTGCTGGTTTATGTACAGAAATGTAACCATCCAAAGACACGACTCCATCATTAATGAAGTCCATAACCTAAGCACATAGCAAGGAAACTGATGACAACCATAACGCATCTCCTCATCCTCTTTAGAAGCAAAATCTTATGTTCCACGTTGAAATACATTAATGGGAAAAGAAACGCCTGATCCAACAAATATATATTTGTGCATGGCAAGTCAGAGTAAGCATGCTTGTACTGAAGAGGAAGGCGCATTAGAAAGTATTTCTTATTATTGCCCATTATTGGCAATAAACTGCATTTTTCCTAGGTCTAGAAAAGGAACAAATTCTATTAAAAGTTACCTTGAAATTTAATGATCGATAGCCAGACATATTTGAATAATGGGCTTATGTGTATGCCCTAATTATAAATGAAAACCCTAATTAAATTTACATGAATTGCATAATTAAAAGTTAAACAATCTAAAAATGTAACAAGTTATGTATCATATTGATAAGTTTTACAGAAAAAAAAACTGCAAAAGATTTCTTAAAATCACAGCTACCAATTCCAAACAAGCTACCAATTTCTTAACACAGAGCTAAAAATGCTTAAAAAGCCTCATTCTTTCCTAATTTCAGCATTGAGCTCAAAAGATTTCAAACACGATAAAGGCTTATCTTTTGTTTGACCACCCATGACCTCGTTTTCAGTTAGAAGTACTAAGTCAAGCATGTACAGAAATAATTAGTTCTATCGTGAATTTTATTTCAAGATAGGACCGCAACTCATATGTCCCAGGAAGGAAATTACATGGTAGAAGGAAAATTATCAGAATAGATGGAAGAAAACAAAGTGGAAAGAGAAGATTTCCACAAAAGCAAAGGGAAATTCACCTCTAAAAGGTCAGTACGAAGTCGCCTGGATCCCTGGTCTTCACTGTTTCCACTAGATAACAGGGTCTGCAGATAAAATTAAGAATGCAGCAGCAATATGGATCAGTGGAAAGTTGGGCAAAACAAATTTCAGGCACTGATTATTGACCAAGAACACAAATCTAAAACCTCGTATGGAACCTTAGATTGGGATGGATAGACTAGCTAGGTACAAGTTCCATGAAATTTAGGAGTAAGTAACCACAGACCTAGAGGTTTCATTTTCATACAAGGACATTAGAGGCGAAAACACAGCTCATTCTATGAGACAAACACGTTGACAGCAAAATTATTAAATCAAACAAGGCAAGCCTTAATTAGGCAATCGGTACGAATTGCGAAATCTCTCTCTCTTTATATATATATATATATATATATATGTATTGTTCACCATGAGACGAGAACCTTTTGAAAATTAAACACAAAATACATACCTCTAAAGATGAGGTGCAGCGGTGATACATGGTGTGCAGAATACCCAAGAAATGAGATAACATTATATTCAAGCTTTCAGGTATCCAAGGCTGGGCTTCCATGGCATTCTCAATCTAGAAACAGGGCAATTGAAGAAGTGAAAGAATATCTCAGGATGCAGAATGTAACAGATAGATATACTCTTAGTCTAATAAGCACATTCTGGAATGACTTACTAGGGATTTTGTAAGCTCCACATTTTCATGTCCATATATAGCACATATATCCAATAACTTTGGCAAATCAAGCAATTTTTTATCCTGCAAAAGAACTATAAACAGAACTAGTGATCAAAATGTTAACTAGAACATCATTGTGACCTATGTACGAGGAACCCATGCATCAGATTAAACCAACAATGAAGGGGAGCCTTGGCACACCGGTGTTGCCGTTGTAGCCTAGAGGTCACAAGTTCGAGTCTTGGAAGCATCCTCTTGCAGAATATTCTGCAAGGTAAGGTTTGCTTACAATACACCCTTGTAGTGGGACCCTACTCCGGACCCCGCTCAATGGGATGCTTTGTGCACCAGGGTGCCCTTTAACAAATCCCAACAATAAACATTTCCTATACAAGTGAAACACTCTTTTGGGTTTTGGCCATGCTTCTACCTTTCCATGGTGCTAGGTTAGCCAAGTGTGGGAAATCTACGTCAAGCTAAAAAAGAAATGTGATAGAAATTCCATATACTTGGTAGTTAGAGTATGTCATGTATTACTGAACCTTCTCTTTTCACAGTCATTTTCCCTTTCTAGTTAGACTACGAAAGGCAACTTACAACAAAATTACACAACAGTACAAAACTAGTGTGAGATGTATGACCACATGAAATGAAAGAAAATAAAACAATAAGACATACCTCTCAATAGCCAATTCATTAAATGCCCGATTTTTCTCGTCAAAATGAACTATAGAAATGGCTACTGACAATTTCAAACAGTAAAGAAGAGAGGAGGAACTCACCTCCATGGTCTTTCTGACTGAGACTATCTGCAGCTCGACAACCAGGATCCCTATTAGAAGATCTGCCATGACCCACATTCAAACACTCCGTATCAATCACAGGGCCAAAATGAATAAAAAAACAACAACAACAACATCGCCTCATTCCCAAGTTCATCTGGGGTCGTCCAAAATGAACAAAAAACAAAAGGGAAAAAAAACAATGTAGCTTCAGTTTAAGACTCAAAAAAGTGTCTCACATTCTGTACAAGATCATGAACACTCGGCGGCTTAACTCTAGCTCTCCGACAATAACTCCAGCAACAATTCCCTTGACTCCATGAAAAGGGAAATCATACCATCTGCTTCTAAATTGCAGGAAGCTATCCAAGAAATCGTGCAACGATGCATCACTAGCCACTGCCATTATTACGTAAAAGCAAACATTTGCCCAAAACCCACCACCAACATCAGTTCAAATCCCAGTTAGATTTGAAATCAAAACCAAAACCAAAAAAAAAGCAATAGAAGATCAGCACCCTCTCTCCAGAACTCTCTGGGGCTTAGCTTTAGCAGCCTGGTGAGCTCTCTGTTGAGAAGATCTACCACTCTCTGCGATTCGATGGGGTCCGACCCTCCATCCTCGGCGGCGAAACCGACGGCGACGGCCTCATCCTGCGGCAAGTAGTTCACGAAATTCCCGCCGCCCTGAGACGGAGTTCTACTAGACATCCACTGCCCTTGATCCCCCATCGTAATCCTACCTTCAGACGAGGAGGAGCCAGTGCCACCGCCGCCTCCCCTTCCGCCCCCGCCGCTCGAAGAAGCTACGGCGGAATCCAATTGCCTGAGCGAAGAGGAGAGAGAAACTGGGTACCTACCAGGGTTAGATCCATCAATTGGATTCCGAGCTTGTTGTTGGGTCTTGGGGACGTATCGGGTGTGCTGATCTTGTCTGCTGATATTAGAGCGACGATGAGACATGGTGGTTATAGGGTTCGCGACCTAGATTTCTCCGTCTAAAGATCGGCGAAGAGATCGAATTGCGCTTCGGCGGCTGTAAGCTGTGATGGAGAGGCAGTCGCGGAGGCGGGCGGGAAGAAGCAGCCGCAGATACGGTATCGTCGTTTTCCGTATAATATATAATACAGCGAGTATATTATTGTTTATTATTATTTTGTTCTTGTAATAGACATTCAAAGCTTTCATGTGTTGATAAAAAAAAATAAACTAGAAAAAGACGTGTAATTTTGAGAGGGAGAGAGATTAATTGAAGTTAATTAAATGTAAAGAATATTTTATTATATATAAACTGTACAAGTGGTGAACTCAAATCCAAAATCCGGTCTAACATATATACACACACACATATATAGTCATAACAAAATCATATATGGGCAATGCATATATCTTATATCACATAAAATCGAGCTTGAAAATGCCATTAATGATTCCCAATCCCAGAAACTGTCAGTCCAAAATTACACTTCGCGTAATATTTCGATCTAATTACAAGAATGAGAAATGTCAAAAAAAAAAAAAGAACAAAGCCAGAGACAAGAACAAGAACAAGAACAAGAACCGGAATCTTGGAGGGTTTCTTGGGTGCGATTTCTCTTCACATAAGCCGAGACAGAAGGTTGTGATGTAAGCCCATCGTGTCAAACCCTCCGTTGTAAGCCAAAGGTGCGTACATCCATAGATCATCCGAGCTCAACAGCTACAAAATTCCAACATATATATATATATATATATATGGACCCAATTAAATTCAAAGTTCTAGAATTTAAACATTATATTTTAACAGTATCATTAGAATATATTAGAAATTGCACAGAAATTCAGAGATCACAAATTTTATACATTATTTTATTTAAATCTTTTTCGTGAAGTTATGAATTCTGCTAAAACAATTACATTTTTTATTTAAATTCTTCTAATTATCAGTATATAATATATATATATATATAACCTTGATTTGCAGCTGGAGAAACTTGACATAATGGACAGCTTCTTCGAGCATTGTGCTGATATCAACCTTTGTCCCGTTTGGAACAAGGCTTTGCAATATCTTCAGCCTCTCATTGATCCTCTCTCTCCGCTTCTTCAACATGCAAAAATCCACCAAAAACATTAATTAAGAAATCCTAGAGATTTTTTAATAATGATAATGATGAGGGAAAACACAGTAATTATAATTAATTACCCGAGCGTATAGGCTCTGTGGATCAGTAGCTGTTCCTTTGCCGGCTCTTGCTTTTTGTTTCGAGTTCCGTACGTCATGAACATCTCCTAATAATGCATCGTCATCCGATGATGAACTGTTGCAGTTTTTTAAGCTTTCCTGGCCATTCTTCTGCTTCTTCTGCATGTTTTCGTTACAGTTCAATGTACATGCATGTAAGATTCTCTGTGTGTGTGTGTACATATGTATGTAATGCTTTTGTATCATATACTTACTTTTCTTGGCGGGCAAAGATTCTTCGCTTGAAGATTATTAGAGGGTCCGATTTCGTCCATGCTTCTTCTCGTGCACAAATCCGAAATATCTAGTTTCCCCTTCACCATCGTCGTCTCTTGGATCGGGTCGTGGTTCGTAGGATACGCTAATTGCTGTGGCATTGCAGCGAACGGGAAGACATGCTTGTCTCGATCATCACGAGCTTCTCCTTCGAAACAAGTGAAAGTAGTGTCTGAGATCAAGGCAGGATCTGGACAAAACACATTCTGATCATGACCATGATCATGGTCGTGCTGATGATGGTGACGATCATCATTATTGCAGAAGCTTGGGAAGCCGAGAGGTTTTGCTTCTGATGGACACTGGTCAAAGTTGAAAAACCCTAACAACGACTCCAATTCACCATCAACGTTAAACCCTTCAGCCATGACCGCCTCCATCGCCATAAAATGCTGGAGAAGAAGAAGACGATCAAGAAGGATCAACAAAAGAAAAAAAAAAAAGGGCTTTTTCCTTTGTCGATCTTCTTATTCTCTTGTCCTAATTAATTACTGTCTGAGCTTGTGTGTGTCTGTATATATATATATAAGCATGTATATATATATATGTGTGTGTATATTAGACTATATTGAAGAAGAAGATGACGATCTTGATGCAGATTCGATGAGATGATATGGGAAATTTCCTAATCTGCAATGATTGTTAATTAGTGAAAGAGTCCTAATGCATGCTTTTTAATTAACCTTATCAACATATATGATCAGTCAACTGTGGGGTTGATCGCAGGCAAGTATTATACAGTTCAGAGAGGAGGCCAACTCCATTGCATGAACTCGTTTAATATAAAGATTATGTATATTTTTATTATAAGTTACCATATATCAACGTACGATTACATTAATATTATAATTAATCTAAGGTTATGGAGTTTTGGTTCGTTTGCTTTGAAGAATTGGTAGGTAACTGGCCACGTAAGTGAGAGGAGACATGCAAATGCACGACTACCGAACAACGTGCGGGAGCCTTCCTGATGTATAAAAAATTAGGTTAAATAACTGTATTTTTCAGGTATTTTAAACTTTGTGCACAAAAAATAATACTCCCTCCTTTCAAAATATTTGTAGTTTTAGATTATTTTCCATATTTCAAAATATTTGTCATTCTACATTTTCAAGATATTTTTTACAATAGTTTTCAATTTTATCCCTATTAAATTCCAATAAATTATTAATGATAACATTGTTTTTATCATTAAATAAGGGTATATGTGACTTTTTCTATTTTTTCTTAAAAAACGTGAAATAACGGATGGAGTACTAATTTATTCGATGTCACGATAAATGACGTTTTAATCGAATATATATGTCAATCGGAAATTCAAAAATTCAGTTCTCGATTACTACTATATATAAAAATTGGAAATTCAAAAATCATTTCACTCACAAATATTAGGTTTCCCAACAGAAAAAATTACAACATATACCCTGATATCAAAATCTTGTTTTTTATCTTTCAATTTTCTTTTGTTTGTTTTGAATTTTGATTTTTTTCCCTAATTTAAACATCCGTTACCGAAATTGCTTTAGCATACTCAATAATGAGTGCACGAGCGGTTAGAAGAGTGTTGCTCTCTGGGTCTCGTCCACGGTTCGAATCCAATTGCTGGAGAGGGAGATGATGTTTTATCGGTTGGGAGGGTGTTGTTCTCTGGACCTCTTTCGTCGGATCTCTAAAGGTTGTTCTCGGACCTAGGAGATGTAGCTAGGTTAGACCGAAAGTACAGGTGAACCTCCTTATTAACAAAAAAAAAATTGCTTTAGCATTGAACCAAAATAAAATTGCATAGTTTTATTACTTTTAAAAATATACAATTCACTTGGCTAGCTTCAACAATATTTGATGCAATTGATTTACCTTTTAACATTTTTTAAAAGTAACTCTATGGAGAAATAGCCTGACCCATCCATTTTGTTATACAACTTATGACAATCCACAAAATGCACAACAAAAAAAACGGCATAAATAAATAAATAAAATATATAAGATAAAAATTAAGGACGGCCACAAGAGAACCCGACAAGATGAGATCCGAACTCGTTTGCTTTGTCTTAACATCATCCTGACACAAAATCTTGAGTTTCAAGTTTAATTTTTAATTTAATTTTATTATCTAAACTATTTTTTTCCTAATTATTGACAGTTAAGGTACGTTGAATCCTATGGATTCGTTATTCTGTTCATTTGTTCTGGACTTACTCGTGGAATTGCATGCCCCACTGCTCCAACATATCTACAACTTATAATACAACTATACATTTATGTATTTAAATGTTCTTATAAGACAATTTTTTTTGGTGTTGGAATTGGAACAACTTTTATCATATAAAAATGAATCAAATGGGCCAAATTGACTCAAATACGGCGGCCCATGTATGTTTCATTATTCAATTCTAATTTACTATACTTTATTTTCGTTCCGATCCTTTGATGTGCTATTTATAATTGTTTCTTAGTTCACGAAAACAAATATTGTATATTCTAACATAAGTTAAACCGAACTAAATCTAATTTATTATTCAAATACTTCATATAAAAACGTATAGTTACATAATCGCTTTGATTTTTTTTGGTTTACAGTATTTGTTTTTATATGAGTTTTTGTCATACGAGTTATTGTTTTTCTAACGTAAAAACCGATTTTGGGGAACGAAATCTAGAAGACAACGCGAGACAAAAAAAAAAGTAAAAAAAAATCTAGAAGGCGACACGTGGTACGGATGACGATGTGCGGTGAAATGCATGCACCTTTTTTAAAACAGACAAAGAAAACGTGTGATGATCCATCCACAAATATTTATTATTATTATTATTGTTGTTGTTACTGTTGTTTTTTTTTTATATACTGTGGAATTCCGTGACTATCTTCCCTTATAAATAGAGATGAACTGGCTACCACCCGCATCTAACGATCCCCTATCCGGACCTGACCACCAGACGCGCCTAACGTTCGGACCGTAGTTGGGCTTAGGCGTCTGCGGGTCAAACTCCAAGTCCACACGCACGAGTCTGTGATACACGCGTAGGATGTAAATCAGCCCGTGATGACAGGTTGGCAGACGAGCAGGTCAGAGGAAGTGATACGGTAAAGAATCGAACCCTCCACCTCATGGGTACTCTCCATGCTCACAACCAACTGACTTGAGGACGAACCCCATTGTTGTTACTGTTGTTGTTTTTTGTTTAAATTGTTACTGTTGTTACTTAAAAAACATCTCACATACTGCAAATAAAAATTGAGACAAATGTAGTATTCTATTTTCTACGGTGTTTACTGTTTTACATATTTATATATAATTAATTCCCACGAAAGTATATCCAAACATTGTAAAAAAAAAAATAAAGAAAAAACTAAGATATAAGCATTCTATTTGAAACCAAGTGAAGATATAATATCCATGCATGATGTACAAATATACTATACGACTTAGAAGCAGAACCGTACTAGAAATATCCACGTGTGAGATACCTTACTAATTACAGTGTTAAATCAAATCCAATCAAATCCTATTCCCATTATATATATATATATATATATAATTAAAACAGTGTGCAAAATAACATTCGATCGACAATGTTTATTTCGTTAAAACTCGAGATATTTGTACAAAACTTGCAAAGTATTTAATGTTTTTGGGCTGTTCCTCTCAAATGTTTATGCCCTTGTATATGTGTATGTGTATGTGTATGTATATGTATAGGTGTAGGAGTGGAAACGACGCTTCCGTACAGGTTAAGTTGGGAAAAGTGAAAGTCAAAGGAGTTCAATTCCGATTCGGTTTTGACTGTTTCAGACAGCCCTCTCTCTCTCTACTTGTTCAGCTAACAACGTCTTTCTCGGCGTATTTTGGTAACCCCGAAAAAAGAAAATTGTGAAATATTATTGCGGATTTAGATTCCATTAAATCAACATCGTTGAATGGTAAAATTCATCTTTTATAATGCGAAACAATGGTTAAAAAGCAAGGGAAACGGTTCCATTATTCGCTTCTGCAATAACTCATTCATATCCGGATTTTCTTATGGAGTTGGTTTAATCGATTTTTAAAAATATAAAATATATCATTCAAATTGGTTATAAATTATATAAAAAAAATGAAATGAAATTGAACCGTGCTTAGAACATAGACGTTATCCGTGGCAATGTAAAAGAAACGTGTACCATTTGTACATTACAAATGTCATCACGCGAATATATACACACACACACATATATATATATATAGTTGGATAGTTGGAAAAGTAGATACAGCCGACTTGGTGGCTTTTGTCACCACTTGCATGTGTACCAAGTCAAATAAAACGTGCACATATTATTTTCCCTCTTAATTATAAAATCATTCGTAAATAAATAAATAAATAAGTCTGGTCTTTCCTCACTCTTCACACTTTCCCCACTCTTTCTCACGCAACTTCCTCTCCACACTCCACAACCTACTATATATACACACATGCATATACCGGTATACATATCTTCTTCAACCTCCGTAGCTTTGATTCTTGAGTTCTCCTCCCCCTTCTCCTTCAGATCGCTGAATTTTCCCGGAATTCCCAAGAATATGGCTCTCGAAGCTCTCAGCTCGCCGAGATTAGCTTCTCCGATTCCTTCTCTGTTCGAAGATTCCACGAGCTTCCATGGCGTCAAACGCAAGCGTTCCAAACGCAACCGCTCCGACAACCGTCTCACCGAGGAAGAGTACCTCGCCGTCTGTCTCATGCTCCTCGCCCGCGATGGCGATCGCAAACGCCAATCGCCACCACCCGTTTTCGCGTTCGCGGCTCCGGAGAAGCTGATCTACAAGTGCAGCGTCTGCGACAAGGCGTTCTCGTCTTACCAGGCCCTCGGCGGCCACAAGGCCAGCCACCGCAAAAACGCGTTACCGACCACCGGAGACGATCAGTCGACGTCCACGTCGACGACCACAACCTCAAACGCAAACGCAAACGCGGGAGCAGGCAGAGCCCACGTTTGCTCTGTTTGCAACAAGTCTTTCCCAAGCGGTCAGGCGCTCGGCGGCCACAAACGCTGCCACTACGACGGCAACAGCAACAACAACAACAACAGTAGCAGCGTGTCCACGTCGGACGGTGTGGGATCCACCAGCCACCGTGGGTTCGACCTGAACATACCGGCGATACCGGAGTTCTCGCCGGGGAATCTGGTCAACGGAGACGGCGAGGTGGTGAGTCCGATGCCGGCGACGGCGAAGAAGCCACGCCTTGTGCTCTCTGTCAAGCTCGAAGATTGCTCCTTGTGAGAAAAAGAAAAACAGGCGGATTAGATTCAATGCTTTTGGATCCTTTTCTCGAAATTCGTTGTGTAATTCAGTTGGGTTTATAGGATTTTTTGTTTTTAGTGTATAGGATTTGAACTTTGTTAGATCCAATTCTTGCGTTCTTTGGTTGAATTGATTCAATGCCAAATAAATATCTATTTTGTTATTTTTATTTATTCGTATGTATTATTCAATAGCAATACGACTTAATTTCCCCATTTTAGTTCGTGAGACGCAATCTCTAATCAAATGGGATTACGATCGTGTTTGTGATTGTTTTTTTTTATAGTTATTTAACCAGATGAATATGTTGGAATTTTGGGGTCCGGTTTGGTTTGATTTGGAGTAATTCAGCCGAATTGTAATTAAATTAAATCTGATTTTGAACGGGTTACTTTTATTTGGTTTATTTAAATGAAAATATAGGTAGAAAACCTCTTAAATTTTAGTTTGGATTGCTAAATTGGGGTTAGTTTGGTCAAACCGAAACTACCCGATTATCTATCTCTCTCTCTAGAACCTGGGCAACGCTAACATGCACCGGTCAACCAAGGGAGGCGCATAACGCGGTATCAGCTTAGCCGTTGACCCGCGTTATTCCCCGGTCAACGCCCATCTTTGAGATATATATATATATATATATATATATATATTTTTTTTCTTTTTTGCTGTGTAGGAATTTTTTTTTATCATCTTTCGTTGCTGTTAAATGTTCTGTAATTACGTAGAAAAGGAGGTGAATTTGGCACTCGGCCAAAAGTGTGTGGGCTTTTCGACCAAACGAGAACGTGGGGATTGATCGAGTAAGAAAGAATCTAATCCCTCTTGTAGACAGATTCTTGTCGAAGTTTCAATACTCTGTCTATAGGACACGTAGATAAGTCCTCATCGTGTTTAGATTCGAATTATTCGTGTTTTTTTTTATATCTAAACAAGATACAAAAATGTACTTAAACAAAAAAAAAATGTAACAGATAGTTAATGGCATCATGTAATTAAGTAAACGTGTTCGGTGACTAACCAATGCGTACGCTTATGTTGCGGGGTAACTCTTCACTCACGGAAACGATGCTTAGATAATTGGCATTGACCCAAAAAAAGACATGGGATTATCAGTGACCAAATAGTGGAATCTAAACATCTTGGATATTATGACATTGGATTCAATATCTGAATATTTTGGATTATGAAGGACTTTTATTAGACGGGGAAATAAAAAATTAATGGTTATAGAGGTTACTTATGACATGTAAAAATACTAAATAGCACAAGTTTTAAGAGATGGCGCGTTGCCAATAATAATATCCCAATAGTAAGACTTTGGGCCTTCACTCTTAATTTTAAATTTGGGGTAAATCATTGTCAATAATACAGAAGGCCCAGACATACCCACCAGCAATGTTTGGAACAAAAGGCCCAGACATACCCACCATTGTCATTACACTAATAGCATATAATTACACTTGCTGAATTGGATGTTGAATATAATTTTTAAAATCAAATTATTCAAACAAAAAAGTGACTGAAAGCAAACAAAATTTAGAATATTTTTAATGTTGATATCTTGTTGAAAGTACTGACCAATAACCAAAACTACTTCCATAGACTTGACTATAAATATAATAAATAATATACGAATGGCTTAATAGAGGCTTTGTAATGTGGTTTGTTAGGTGAAATGTCGTACCAAAAAGCAACACATCACACATGACTTGTTGTTCTCTAAGGTCCGCATCAAATTTCAAACAAAGAGGCAACCGACACCCGCATATAACCAACACGGCCACACGACACTTCATTTCTTTGGCGGCCAAACATCAAAATCATTACGGTTGCCTGCCGTTGTGTAATGGACTCGACATTCAATTCAACTCGTGTACAGTCAAAACTCGGACGATTTAAGTGGCCCGACTCAAAAGGCCGCAGTAGATGTAGACCCATGAATTGGGAATTAGGGAGAGTTTACGTCTAAACATCTTTTATTAAATATATGTGTATATACACACACATGGTCATAGACACAGCCACATAAGCAGTTGATGCCACCGAAGAACATGGAAATCCTACTCCGGACATGGGTTTGAACTTAAGAGCTGAGGATGATACTTGCATATGGACATACTTTAAAGACAGAAATGCAACACTACCTCGGTGACGGAGGAGGTTATATGCTACGAGTAGACGATGATTCGATCTCGATCTCGATTCAAATAACGGTGGGGGGGGG